ACTACTGTGCAAACCACAAAGTCTGCAGGAGGCCAGGGACCCAGACTTGGAGGAGGCAGCACGTCCCATCAGTGGCTCCCAGGAGAGGCGCTCCTGCCAACAGGGTCACCGGGTGGGGCACCGCTGCGGCCCCTGAACGCTCCACCTCCCTCCTCTGAATGATGAGCTGCAGGCGGTGTTCTCTGCCACCTCTTCCTCCTCAGTCACTTGTGCAGGTGTGTCCAACCGTGGAGTCCAGGTCGCCTGACAGCACTGTAGCTGCAAGGCAGGATGGGAAAGTGAGTTCTGGTTTCTATCTGGGGATGGAGGGAGGGAACTCATAACTTGGGACACTCTCTAAACATAGGAAGGGCAGTCTTCAACACGACAAACAGAGGGAATCCTAGAGACCATACTTAGCCTGAGACTTTCAACAGCAGATGAGAAAATTGAGACCCAGAGAGGGGAATCAGACTGTCCAGTATCACACAGGGTGAAAGATCACGGCAGGAATCTTCATCTTGGCTGGCTTCTGGGCCAGCGTCCTCTGGTTCTATCACAATGTCTTCATTCATTCTTTCGGCAAGTAGTCAGTGAATGCCTATGCTAGTGAGGTCTCTCAAAAACACAGCTCCCCAAGTCACACCAGTGCCAAGACTGGGACAAAGTGTCAAATGTGACCTCACTCCTGCCTTCAGGAAGATTAATTTCTTATTTTTTTATTTTTATTTTTTTTTTTGCTGAGGAAGATTTGCCCTGAGCTAACATCTGTTGCCAATCTTCCTCTTTCTGTATGTGAGACCCTGCCACAGCATGGCTACTTACAGACGAGTCATGTAGGTCTGCTCCCAGGAACCAAACCTGGGCCACCAAAGAGGAGCATGCCAAACTTAACCACTAGGCCACCAGTGCTGGCCCTTGAGAAGATTAATTGTGGAAGGGAAGCCCCCCCAGGTAAGTGAGCCAGCTGGTGCCATGCACTGAGGGCACCTTCTCTGCCACTTGGCTGTATTCTGTAACCACTAACACCCAGCTCAAACCGCCTCCTCTGTGGAGCCTCCCCTCACCAGCTCGGCCTGCAGCCTTCGCCTCCTGTGAGTTGTCCCTTCTTCAACCAGCATTTACCGAGCACCCCGCATGCTCAGTCAAGAGAGGAACCTGGAGACCACTGAGATATATTTACAGGTGCTGTGGTGGCCCAGAAAGGGCATTGGAGGGAGGGCTGCATTCTACCCCTGAGGGTCCGAACATTCTCCCCAGAGGAGATGCTGCTTGAGTTGTCAGTTGAGCGATGGAAAGGCATCTTCTAGGCAGATGAGATGAGGGACAAGGATGTGGGCATGGGGAACGGCCTTTGATGCCACACCAGTCACGTGACCCTTAGGCAGACACTGTCCCGGGCTGTGGGCTGTTTTTCCAGACCCCTGGAGTCCGACAGCCCCATCTTACTCAAGCCCAGGGATTGTTGCTGTCCCCCACCCCCGTCACTTCCCTGCACATGGGCTTCCCAGATCCTCGCTCCTTACCCATGTGGGACATGATTTAACCTCGCAGTGAGCGGCATTTTCCTTTTCATGTAAAACATGTCACCACATTTCTGCAGCCCCAACTGCTCTCTGGTGAAAATAAACAGATAAATAAATAATTTTTCACAAAACTAATTAGCGGAGAGGAAGATGCTAATGTGTCTTGCCAACTGTATCTCTCTCCAGCTCACACCCTGCCGGCCTGGGGTCGGGGAGGGGCTCTGGCTGTCTGGAGCCCCTTCAGGGATGGCGGGCAGCTCCAAGCCCGTGGACACAGGGACTTCTCTCTACACCTTCAGGGTGACTGAATCTTCGTGCGGGTGGAAAGGCCAGGGATGGGACGAAGCCCAGGTTCTGGAATCAGACAAGCCTCGGTTGGAGTTCTGCATCTGCTGTTCACTAGCTGTGGAACTTTCTCAGCCTCAGTTTTCTCATCCGCAAAATGGGGTTGCTGAAGATGCCAGTCTCCCAGGGTTGTTTGTCAGGATTCAATGAGAGGATGCATGGAAAGCCCCAGGGGGCCAGGTAGCATTTATAGTTAAAGACCCTGGAGTTCACAGAGGTGAAGTGACCTGCCCAAGGTCACACTGTCGGTGAGCTGGGGCTCGTTCTCAGTTCTGCCCAGTCCAATCCTCATGGTCTCGCAGTGAGCCGTCCTACAGCTTGGCAGAGACCAGAACGTCCTGTGCAACAGCTCTGGGTCTCAGGTCCCACGGCAGCAGGCAGCAGAGGCAAAGCCAAGGCAGGCTGGGGCGTCCACCCTGCGACAACTTAGAGTGCAGTAGCCATATATTCCAACCATCACTGGGTTCCGGGGTCTGACAATGGGGCCCATCTTTGAAATCAGGAGGCTCCTGGGAAACCCTGGTCGTGGGTGACACCCGCCAGGAGAGTGAGGTGGGTTGGCACCCGGTGAGCAGCCTGCCAGAGGGCTGCCTCTCTTCTCTGCCCACTGGCGTCTTCTTACCCGGCTGGAGGAGAGGATCCAGCACGGGGGAGCAGGTTCTTTGAGACTCCCCTGCAAATGGGCACGTGCACATCTATCTCTTCACTAACTGCCGTGGGAGCCAAGGCAGGAAGCTCTGACATCTGTTTACACTGAGAGCACTGAACGAACGTGCAGCCCTAGGAGGCAGGTCCCACATCAATTCCCACTTTCAGATGAGGAAGCCGAGGCCCAGAGAGAGGAAGGACCTTGCCCAGGGTCACACAGCGAATGAGGAGTGGAGCCCAGATTCGAACCCAGGTGGGTCTGACTGCAAAGCTGACTGTCCTTCTGCAGCAGGAGGAAGACTTCCCGAGGATCCCACCTTGATCCCGAGATATGCCCGTGACTACGCTTCTGGGAAGATAAGGACAACTGCCGTGCGAGGTTGCTCATTGCAGCACCGTTTGAAATAACAAGACAATCCAGGTGTCCATGCAAAGGGGGCTGGTTGAATCAATCACAGTACACCCATTCCACCGAGTTATATGCACGTTTAAAATCACCAGGAAGCTCTCTGTGTGTTGAAATGGAAGGATTTCTAGGATTTATTGTTAAAAAAGCCAAGAGCAGAATACTGTGTTAATATACTATTTTTTTATACAAATTAAGGGAAAATCATCATCTCTATTTGCATTTGCTTGTATATGCAAAAATAAATTCTGGAAGGGTGAATAAGAAACTGGAACGGTTTCCCAGGGTGGCCATGGGACAGAAACAAGCCAGTGGGTAGGATGGGGAGGCAGAGGAAAATTTTCATCCTTCATCCTTCATCCTTCTATAATTGTTCTCCCCTTTTTCTTATCTTTTTATTTATTTATTTATTTATTTATTTATTGTAAGGAAGATTGGCCCTGAGCTAACATCTCTTGCCAATTCTCCTTTTTTTTTGCTTGAGGAAGATTAGCCCTGAGCTGACATCTGCACCAGGCTTCCTCTATTTTGTATGTGGATGTCTCCACAGCATGACTGGTGAGTGGAGTAGGTCTGCACCCAGGATCCGAACCCCGGCTCCAAACCTGCAAACCGGGGCGCTGAAGCAGAACGCACAGAACTTTAACCACTCAGCCATGAGGCTGGCCCCTCTTAGCTTTTTATTTTGAAATAATTATAGACTCACAAAAGAAGTTACAAAAATAGTACACAGAGAGGTCGCATGTCCCCTTTATCCAGCTTCCCCAAAGGGTAACGTCATAAACATCGATAGTACATTATCAAAAGTAGGAGACAACACTTTTTTTTCTCTGATGATCTCTTTTTTTCTTTTACACTTTACTTTTTAAAAATTGTGGGAAAATATACATAACATAAAATTTACCATCTTAACCATTGCGAAGGGTCAGTTCAGTGGCATTCAGTACGTTCACGTTATTGTGCAGCCATCACCACCACCCATCCACAGAGCTCTTCGTCTTGTAAAGTTGAAAGTCTGTTCCCATTGAACACTCAGTCCCCACCCCACCTCTGTTGGCAGCCACGGCTCTACTTTCTGTCTCCATGAACTTGACACAGAAGTCAAATAGTCTACCCTTCGTCCTTCTGTGACTGCGTTATTTCGCTCAGCATAACGTCTTCAGGGTTCATCCACGTTGTAGTGTGTGTCAGAGTTTTCTTCCTTTTTAAAGCTGACTAGCATTCCATTGTGTGGATGTACCACCTTTTGGTTATCCATTCATCCATTGACGGACACCTGGGCCGATTCCACCTTTTACCTCCTGTGACTAACGCTGCTATGCACATGGGTAAACAATACTTCGTTAAGACCCTGCTTTCAGTTCTCTCGGGTATATTCCCAGAAGTGAAATTGCTGGCTCATATGGTAATTCTATGCTTAATTTTTTTTGGGAACCGCCGTACTGTTTTCCACAGTGGCGGCACCATTGTACCCTCTTAGCAGCAGTGCACAAAGGTGCCAATTTCTCACATCCCCACCAGCACTTGCCATTTTCTGTTTCCTGGACGGTAGCCATCCTAGTGGGTGTGAGGTGGTATCTCACTGTGACTTCTACAGTTTTGTACAGACCAGCCATTCCTGGTGCATTGTTGAGTGGCCCCAGGGAAAACACAGGACTGAAGATGTCCCTGAGGGGCGTGGGGTTTGGCCACCAGCTGTGACCTTGTGCTCACAGGTCCCTGTGAGGCTCAACTCCTGGCAAGGACATTGGAGGGGTGGTGTGAGGGCACCACTGAGGACGACAAAACAATCCACAGGGACCGAGCAGGACTCTGTGGTAGACAGGGTTCATGTTCTTAAGGGCAGCAGCCACCTCTCCTGTCCAGCTGTGGGCCCTGTGAGCAGGTGAGGGAGGGGGCCTGCGGCTCTTGGCTACTGATCTCCAGGGCACTACTTAGTTACCACCACCCTTCATTAGGAAGGGAAACCTCATTCTTGCATCACACAAGCTTACCGGGGAAATCAAGAAAGGATGGGCCTAGCAGAAGACAACTTTTTTTTTTTTCTTGCTGAGGAAGATTTGCCCTGAGCTGCTATCCATGCCAATCTTCCTCTATTTTTTAGTATGTGGGCTGCCAGCACAGCATGGCTGTTAACCGAATGGTGTAGGTCCACATCCAGGAACCAAACCACGGCTGACGAAGTGGAACACTCTGAACTTAACCACTAGGCCCAAGGCAACATTTTATTAAATCTTCTCTCTCTCCTTGCCACCTATTGATTCTACTTCCTAAGTATCTCACAAAGCCACCCATTCCTCTCCATTTTCTTCTCACCGCCTTAGTCCAAGCCACCTGTGTGTCATCTGGCTTACACGACAGCCTCCTGATGGAGCCTCCATGCCTCCAGCCTCACCTCTGCCGATCCCAGCTCCACACGGTACCCAGAGTGAGTTCCCCAAGGTGGGAGTGAACCCTAGTATTCCTTTGCTTAAATGATGTAATTGCTCCCATTGCTCTCGGCATAACGTTTGAACCCCTCTGTCCTCCCACAACCTGGCCAGCCTTCCAGCTCCCTCTCTCCCAGCACCTAGAACACGTGGGTATCAATGAACTGCTGAATTAAAGGTCTTTGCCCTCAGCCTCTTGAACTCCAGTTTTAGCCATTCTGATCTTTGCTCTGCTTGTCAGGGGACCCATGCTCTGTCTGGATTGTCCCCTCCCCACCCCACCTATCTCTTCCTGCTAAACCACACGGGTCTCCCCACACATCAGCTTAAACCTCCCCTCCGGGAAGAGGCCTTCCCCACGGCTCGGTCCGCTGGCTGCCTGCCGTGTGGCACTGTGATGCTCCCGCCCGGCCTGTCACTGCGTGTTTAATGCCTGTCTGCTCTGCTCAGCGCTCGCGGAGGTGAGGCCCGCCCTGCGCATCATCACGCACCCTGTCATCTCCTCCTAAATATCTGCGGGGTGGGTGACGGTGTGCGGAGACAACCAGAAAGCCCCTCCCCCCTCCAGAGAAGAGAGCAGAAACCCCTGACCCGGCTCCCACTCTCGGGAAGCAGGGAACCAGCCACGTGCAGACACGCATCGAAACTTAGAAAACGAGGCCATGTCCCCTGATGCAAAATCCTAGGGTTCCTTCTTCACGAGGGGCAAGATGAGAGCCCGGCTGACAGAGTGACATGGGCACCGGCTGCCCCAGAATGATCGCGGCGGGCCGGTGAGGGGCTTGCCTCTCCGGGAACCGGGAAGGAGGCTCCGCCCACGCCGCTGGACCGGGAGGCCTTGCAAGAAGCCGAAGCTCATCTCTCCCCTCCTGGAGCTGAAGGAGAGGGGAACTTCCGGCATTTGGGTGAGGCCCGCCCGGCTGGCATTTTCGGGTTACCGAAAGGGAGCAAGAAGGGTGGCTCCTCCCTCCCGGGGTGGGGAGGCTGCGAGAGGCCAGGCTGAGGTCTTGGAAGCGGGCTACCTGGGAAGAAGTGGGTAGTGAGGCGAGAGCCAGCAGGAGCCTCGCCAAGGCCTCCATGGGGGTTGGAGGAGGCCCTGCTCTTGTGTAGGACCCGGCAAGCGCCTCCTCCATGCACCTGCTCCGTGGGACCTGCCCACGGCACACCCTGCAGAGCCCAGGCATGATGCAGGCCCCCAGAGGGAAAGGTGACCTTCTGGGAGCTCTGTGGGGCCCGACCCTATGGGGCCCCGGGCCTGGCCCCTCTGGGGATGGGCAGGCTCTCCCGACCATGGTGACAGGAGACGCCCGTGGGCCTGTAGAAGACTCCTGAATTGCCCAGTTGCTCACCTTGCTTTCAAAAACAGCCCTCAAAACAGAAAACTGGGGACCCCACCAGACCCAGAGAAACCAGGAAGGAAAGGAGGGTGGGAGGGAAGACCCCCACGCGAGTCTGGTACCAACCTGTTGACCACAGATCCAATGAAGACCTGGTCCGACCTGTGCAGGACCCAGGAGCCCCGGGGGGGCCAGTCTTCGTGCAGCTGTTTGTCCCGGGGCAAACCAGGACAGGAAGAGAGCCCATCAGGGGACAGCCTGGGCTCTGGAACCAAATCGCCTGGACTCAGGCACTCGCCCTACCACTTTGGTGCTGTGGGACTTGGGAAAGTTGCCCAGCACTTTTGTGCTCTGGTCTCCTATCTCCAAAACGGGAAGCCATCCTGGGATTGGGCTGTGGGGTTGTCGGGGACGCTTAGCAGAACGGCTGACTCACAGAAAGCACTCAGCGCTCCTGCCATTATGTGTCCACTCTCCAGACTTCAATTTACTCTTAGGCCTCAATTTGTTCAGCTATAGGATAAAAGGGTTGGATCAAATGGTCTCGGAGCTGCCCTCCAGCTCTGGAATTAGTAACCCTGCCCGCCTCAGTTAAGTTATTTTGGTTGCATGCAGCAGACTTGCAAGTCTGGCTGAGCTCTGCAGAAAGGGATTTATAGGATGGAGGGGGGCGGGGTGCTCACAGAGCTGGAGGATAGGGTCAAGAACCAGACAGGGGTCCGAGAGCAGGGCAGCAGACCCCACTGAACACCTTTGCCAGGGAACCAGCACCAGGAGGGGTCCACGTCATTACATCAACCTCTGGAGACCCCCGCTCCTTGGCCAGCAGAAGGCAGGACACCTGGATGGACAGGACTGCCAGGCTGCACCCAGGGGAGACCAGGTCCTCAGGGGGAGATGGGGTGGGGTGGCCAGCAGAAAGGGGAACAAATGCCACAGGGCAAAACCAGCTGACGCCCACCCCCCCTGGGTGATGTGACAGGTCTAGAAGCGCTGACTTCTGGTTCTACCAAAAATGACGAACAGGCCCAGGAGCCCTAGGCCTGGTGCCCTCGAGAGCTTTGAGATGCCATCTTCTCCATTGTCATCTCCGTGGGGTGGATTTTCCCTCATCTCAAAAATATCTGCCTTGGAGGATCACGCTCGCCGGGCGTTCCTTGAAGGCCAAGGCCAGCAGTGACAGTGTCCAGCACACACCGAGTCCTTCACGGAAGCCAGCTGACTGGGGATGTTCAAGGAATACCCCTGCCAACGAAATGCCCAGACTGATAAAGGGAGGCGGCAGCGTCTTGCTACAAGGGAGAGAAGCGTATGCAGGGAGCAGAGACGAGCTCTCCCTCAGGTACTCCTGTTCCCACTTCTGAGTCAAGGTGCTGAGCTCTGGTGATTTACTCACTTATCTGATCCTCACCGTCCTCCCCTGTAAAATGCAGATAATTATCATGCCTGCTTCATCGGGGCTGTTATGAGGTTTGATGAGTTGAAAATTCATTCCACAAATATTTGTTGAGACCTAATTTGTGTCGGTCACTGTTGTGGGTGCTGATACATCAGCGGTTAAAATAGACAGAGATGCCTGCCCTCCTGAAGCTCACATTCTAGTGAGCTAGCGCCACAAGGTAGGTGCTCTAATTGTTACTAAAATGTGAGTGACTTTCACCTCTACAAGCAGCAGCAGCAGCCTGGTTGGCTGGCAGCTCCAGGCCACCTCTGTTGGGATGAGTTCATTAGGTCTGCTCACAAGGATCCCACTTCTCCTCTTTCTGGGCACACGTGACTTACTTTGGCCAGTGCAGCATGAGCAGAAGTGACCGGTGTCCTGGGCAGAAACTTTAAGAGCTAGTGCACAGCTTTCCGTGTTTCCTTCCCACAGCTGTGGGACTCCCGGATGCGTGTGACCAGATGGTGACTGAGAGGAACAGAGCCTCAAGTGGACTTTTTGAGTGTCCTCCACGATGGCATTTCAAGTGGGCAAGTAGGGTGAGTGAGAAGTACACTCGTGTGGTATTAAATCACTGAGATTTGGTGCTGCTTGTGATTACAGCATAGCCGACCATGTGCTGATGGATAAAAATGACATCCCACACGTCAGCCTTGTCAGAGGTCTCCATTGTCTCATCTTTGTAGCGGTGTCTTAGCAGCTCTGCAGGAAGCACAAACGTAGGTCACCGAGCGGATGCAGGTGTAGGAACTCTGCCCTGCTTCCTCACTCTGCCGATCAAGGCCCACTGGACAATTGCCACATCTGGAATCTGCTCTGTGTGTCAACGGTGATTATGGCCCCATAGCACCGGCTCCAGGCAAATGACTGCAGGCCCCAGCACAGCCTGGAGGCAGCCGGGCCTGCATCCCGGATCCCCTGCACCCAGCCTACAGATGTTTCCACCTGTGGATTCCTTCCATCCAGGCCTGTCATCCCTGTCACCCCGGGAATGCCCCCCCCTTCCCTGTCCTCTGACCCAGCACCCGTCTGCTGCCCTCTCTTTCCATCTGTTTGTTGGGGTCTCCTGTGACTTATTTCTGGAAATTAACTCTCTGACACACCCCAGCCTCTTCAAAGACAGATGTCTCAGTTGGGGCCAACCAGGAACATGGAAACCATTCTGCATATTTAAAACAGAGAGAATTTAGCCCAGGGAATTGGTTATCCGGGAGGCAGAAGAGCTGAGAAGCCAATGTGCAATAGTAAGGGGACCCAGAGATCAGCAACAACAGGAAGCTGCCTTCCCTGCTAGGCTGGAGAGACAAAGAGAGGAGGGCTGGGGCTCAGCCAGGGGAGCCTGGAACATCGCAGGCAGGAGGCAGGCCTGCAGGAGATGCAGCCCCTGGAGTCAGAGAGGGAGGGAGAGAAATACTCCCACTTCTCCCTTTGTCTCACCCTCCAAGCTCCTCCAGTGCCTCCCATTGGTGGAACGAGGTGGGAGCAGGGAGACACAGCTGGACAGAGCAGGGGAAGGGCAAGGAGTGGATGTGAGGCAAACAGGCCCCAGACCAGTGCACCAGGCTCCCTCCATCCAGCACCTACTTCCCCATAACTCTCATAACTCTCTCGGGTAGAGGCTGCTTTTTCTCCCACATCCCAGGGCATGGGGATATGCTGCCTTTTCCTCTTAACTTTTCCATCTTGGTTAGTGATACTGCTGACTCAATACCTATTCCCAACCCTTCCTTACCTGCTTCCACTATTGGTGCTAGAAAAGTTAAAATCTCACTTTCCCAGCCTCCGTGCAGCTAGGGATGGCCATTGATCTATTAGCAGAAGCTTCTGGAAAAGTTTTTTTTCCCTCTTGATTAAAGGGAACAGACATGGTTGCAGTCACCTCTTTCCATTTCTTCTTGCCTGGAATGCCATGAAAATGTCTGGAGCTGCAGCAGCCATCTTGCAACCATGAGATAAAAAAGACAATACAGTGAAGACGGGGGAGCAGAAAAAAAGATCCTAGGTCTTTAAGGACACTAGTGAGATGTTAAACCAGGCCTAGATAGCTCACCTCCAGACTTCTCACATGTGAGATAATTAAATGCCTTTATTGCTTAAGTCACTGTTAGGTTTCTACCCCTTGCTTCCAAAAGCATTCCTAAAACATCACCCATCCAGCATCCAAAGCCAGGATCCCTGGAGGAAAACTCACTCCCCGCTTCCTCACCCTCCACGTCTCATAAGTCACCAAGTCCTGGAGACTTTATCTCCTTGGTGTCTCACCTCCCCCTCTCCTCGCCGTGCTCATCGCCCACATCATGGTTTATGTTCTCATGCTCCCCGTCTCCCTCTCCAAAACCTCACCCCACCGCAGCCAGAAGGAGCTTTCTAAAATGCATACATTGCACACTCGACAGTGTCTCTTTTTGGCTTAAAAACCCGTACAGGCTCCCCATTGCCTTCAGAATAAAACCTAAACTGCTTAGCGAGGCAGACACAGCCCTCATGACTTGGCTCACCAAACCTCAGCCATTCCTCTCCTTGAACCTCTGCTAACAGTCCCATAAAGTCACCATCCCAGTTCACACCACGAGCCTTTGCAGACTCTGTTCCCTTGCCCAGCGCAGAGGCGATCCCAGATTCCGGGGGGTCCTTGCACCCTCCTCTCTACCTGCTTCTCCCACTGCTTGCACCACGCTCTATGCTTCTTCTGTTGACTTGCTTTTTCCTTCCTCCCTTACCAGAAAGTCGGTTCCTTGACAACAGGGCCGCTTGCGTTATTCATCTCCGTATCCCCGGCGCCTGCCACGCTGCAGGGACTTGATAAATGTGTGTGGAGTAAGAGTGAATGAATGAGGCCGTGCACTGAGGAGCCTGTGAAGTCAGCTGGGGGGAGGAGCTGGCTTTTTGTATTTTGCAGGAAGGAGAGAACAGCAAGGACCTAAGTCTTTGAAAACCTGCAAATAACCTGGCTCCCTGGAACTTTGCCCAGCCCGCTCTGGGGAGAACACCTTGCCCACGTGCAGACGTAGCCAAGCCCTTTCTCCTGAAATAAACTTTGTCTCAAGCCACCTGCCACGGGGGAACCATCTTGAAGTGTGCTTTTCCCAAAGATGTGCCCGCTTATCTTGGAAGCTGGAGGAAAGGTGGCTGCGATTTCAGATTCATCTCCGAAATTCCTTTGAGGCGTCCCGTTCTCGTCTTTCTTCTCAGAGGGGAAGAGCAGCTTGTGGAGCTCCGAGATTGACACACCTGTCTCGGGAGGGAAAAGAAGAGTGACGGGGTGAAAGTCGGGCACCCTCTTAATGACACAAAGCACCATTTGTCCTGCTGTTGAATAAAGGATAATTGTGTGGATTACACAGCATCTCGGTGCCAGAGCCTCCCAGGTCATAAAAAGAGGCATAACAAAGAATTACAGGCCCTGTAAAATGAATATTGGAATCAATTAGTTCCTTTCAGATGAGAGCTGCTTCTACAACGTTCATTATCTGAACCCCGCTGTGTGTGTGGGGTGTAGAGGGAAACCTGTTTTCTTACAAATGGCCATCGTCACCCTCTAAAGAGCCTCCCACGCAGCTCTTTGCTTTCTCCCGTGTTCGTGCCTTCCCCTGAGGAGAAGGGGAAGACAACAGATCAAAGGCGCGCTTATTACCTTTGGCGACAGTCCCTGCCACTCCAGTGCCACCTCCGTGTATGCATTTGGAGCACTGGAGTGAAGTCCCGCTCAGCTGCAGCCGAAGAGTCAATGCAATTTTGGGTTTCATTCAGGAAACAGCAGTTCCTTAGCTGATGTATTAAATCAATTAGATGCCAGGGGCGGCCGAGGCCACACCAGCTTCCCGAGCGCCCGTCACAGGGACCATGAATCACACGAGTGTCAGGATGCTGTTGCTCACTCAATTCCGAGTTACGTGTCCTGACAGCCCAAGACAGGGCAGGAAAATAAACATGGCGAGCGTGTCCTGGGGACCAGAGGGAATCAGGAAGGGGTCTGGAAGGTAAACAGCTGCTTTTCCTCTTCTGCTTCCTTCTTAGTTTAAAGGAAATCTCTGTCTGAGAAAAACTCCCAATGCCACCTCCATAGCAGCCCAAATCTCCCCATCCCTCCATCCACACTGCCCCAGCCTAGTCTAAGCCAGCACTTTCTCTGGCTGCCCTCAGCGTCCCCTTTCGGGAGCCCTCTGCTTTTTGCTCTGTGCTGACACTAGCTTCATCTCTCTGAAGGGAGGTTTGTTCACGTCGCTCAGTCTCTTGCTTCTAAATTCTTTCAATGATGTCCCACGGATTTCAAAAAAAGATGCAACATCCTTTGTGACCCAACTCTTGACTCTGTGCGGGTCTCGGCTCTCTCCTCTCCCACCAGCCTGCACCCACTGAGCGCTCAGCAGTTCCCCAAATGCTCCTTCCTCCCTCCCTTCCTGCAGCAGACCTGGGCACCCAGCCTGGAAGGCTCTTCTATGCTCTTCTCATCATTTTGGGAGTTTGTGGAAGTGTCCCCTGCCTACCCACACCTCCACCTGGACCCTTCCGTGGAACCCCTCGGCCCCTGCCTCGGTCTGTCCCAGCAGTGGTTTGTAGAATTTGTCATCACCTGTTTGCTTGTCTGTCTCCCCTCCTAGGCTGCGAGCTTCCTGAAGGCAGACTCGCGCCTTTGACTTCTATCTTTAGCTCAGCGCCCAGCAAATAGCAAATGCTTAGTGGGGCTTCCGGTGCAGGAAAAATTGCATCTTCTGGGCCTAGTGCTAGAGGGTGCAGTTGAGCAATGTACGAGCCAGCTGGAGATAGGAAAGGAAGATTGGGGGAAAGAGAGGGGCCCTGGGATGAGGGCCTGTCCTTTCATCTGCACTTTGCCATTCAATTTGGCAACCACGCGATGGTGTGGGAAGCGGGTCTGGTTGGGAGAGGACCCAGCTCTGAAGGTGGCTGGGAAAGGCTGCTTCTCAAAGTGGCCACACTGTATGCCAGAAATCTCCCCTCTCGATTAGAGCAACCCAACCCCAGGACAGGTCTAATGAGGACCCTCGGGGACTGTGGGGTAGAGGGGGGACAGTGGCTGGGGGCACAGAGGGGAGAGATTGGCTTGACAGGCCAGAGACCTGGGTTTGGATCCCGACTCTGCCACTCACTACATGGGAAACTGCTTAACCCTTTGAGCCTCAAGCTTCTCACGTTAAATGGGAACCGCGCCCCCTCGTGGGGTCGTCAAGGGGACTCAAAGAGATGGCGTTCACAGAGCATGTACTATATGGTACCTGGGCGCATGGTGGGTTTTAAATCAAATGGCTTGTCATCCTGATGGCCAGGAACCCAAACGACAAGACAGGATCCAGTTAGTAGAGCTAGAGAGGGCAATGGGGGCTCGCTCGTAAGGACTGGAGCTGAAGCGGGGGTCCCTGAGCCCAGTGGCGGGAGGAGTGACCTTGGGTTTCTCCTCAAAGCCCGCCTGCAGTTCCCATGGCTTAGGCTGAGTTCAGGACTCAGCTGAGCATCCAGACTTGACCTTGACCTTCCAGAGCCCAGATTCTGGTCCTCCACTGACCTCCCACTTGCCAAGCCAGCCCTTTCTGCTGCCACTCAAATCCAGACAGGACTCTAGAGCCATCCTGAGAGCTGGGCCCACGCTGGCAGGCAGCACCAGGGCCCCAGACCTGCCATTCCTTTCCCATCTGCAGGCCACCCAGGCCTCAGCCCACCATGGAAGGGCTCTCAGGCCAGGGCAGACCCCGGCTCGGGGCCTCTGCCTGGCAGAGCCAGCTGCAGCCTGGCGTGGCCTGAGGCAGCCCCTCAGCTCCACACGGATGGCTTTTCCAGCAGGTTCGTGAAATTAATTAAATGCCTCTCTTCCTTCTGGCTCGTAATCCATCACAGCGTTCATCCCTGCTCTTTCTATATTAGAAAATAATGGCAATTACGCCTGAAATAATCCATTTTTACAGTTTACATTTAATTTATGAAGGGATGGCAGGCCCAGTGCTCCGCCTGTGACCACAGCTTCATTTTCCATTTGCCTTTTTTCCCTCTGTGTCTTTGCTGGTCGGGATGAAGAAAGTGCTTAGAGGTGAGGGAGCAGGGCTGGTCTGCGGAGTTCTGACGACTTCTTTGAAGCAGGTCAAGCAATACCCAGGGATCCAGGCTCAGCTGGGAAGGGGATCAAGGGGGTGAGTACCAGGGAAGGAGGGCCCCCATGAGAAAGGCCTTGCTCTCTCCTGAGGAGAGTGACCCTTTTCAGCTCGGTGCCCCAATAAGCTTTCATTTTGATCCCCTTGGTCTGTTTTTGACATGCTCTGCTTCTGCCTGATTTCTCTGGTCAAGTTGATCAAAACATGTCAGTCTCCTGCTCACAGCCCTTCGGAGGCTCCCCTGCAGCTCTCCAGACGAAATTCAAGCTGCTCAGCTTGGTTCACCAGGCTGTCTATAGCGCTGCTTCTCCCAGCGCCCATTCCCAGCCCCCTCCTCCCCTGTGGGTTCATCTGCCCCCTCGTCCTGGATGTCTTTCCGCAGGCTCTCTTTCACAGCCAGGCCTTCAAGTCCACCCCTCAACAGTTGGCTGTGGGAAGGCTTCCCTGAGCACAGCCCTCCGCCCCTCCCACAGCCCCCAGAGCACCCCACCACTTACCTCTCGGGGCCTCACCTGCCGATTCTCCCGGCTGCCTCCGCTCTGGACTGTGAGCCTGCTGAGAGTGGGAATTGTCCTTCGTTTGACTCTGTGCCCCAGGACCTGGCGGGGGGCCTGGCACTTAGTGGGTGTAGCAGGGTCCTAGGGCTGCTGTAACCAATTACCGCAAATGTAGTGCCTTAAAACAATTTATTATCTTACAGTTGTGTAACTCAAAAGTCCAGAATGGGTCTCCCCGGATGAAAATCAAGGTGCCGGCACAGCTGTGTTCTTCCTGGAGGCTCCACGGGAGAATGCGTTTCCTTGCCCCTCCAGCTTCTAGAGGCCACCTGTATGCCGTGGCTTGTGCTCCTTCCTCCATCTTCAAAGCTGACTATGGGGGCTCAAGTTCTTCTCGTATCGCAGCCCTCTGACCTCCTCTTCTGCCTCCCCCTTCCACTTGTAGGAACCCCCTTGTGCTTCTATTGGGCCCACCCAGATAATCCAGGATAATCTCCCTATTTTAAAGTCAACTGATTAGCAACTTTAATTCCATCAGCAATCTTAATTCCCCTTTATCATATAACATAATATATTCACAGGTTCCAAGGGTTAGGACGCGCACATCTTTGTGAAGCCATCATCCTGCCTCCCACAGGAGGGACTCAATACAAGCATGTTGAACAAAGATGAATGAGTGAGATGACCTACAAACTTCATGGACCACCAGCCACCAAGAGCCTTTAATACGAACATTCTTTGCACCCTTTTGCCATTACCAAACCCCCAAAATGTGCTTCTTTAGATTCACGTGCTCAACAGACAATCTGCTCAGAGAAAACCAGCCGAGGCTGGGCTGCTCACTCACCCGGACCACCACATATCAAAAACAGGGTGAGGCGGCGGTGCCTGCACCACCGTCCCCCAGCCCTGCGGCTGGCACCCCACTGCTGCCCTTCTCCCCCGTAAGTGGGTTGTCATTCCCCAGGAACCCCAAACACGCCATCGAGAATCACCTCTGAGAGTTCACTCCCCCTCTGATACCTTTGGTGAACTCTCCTGGCACAAGTGGGTGGATTCCACTCTCGAAAACCACATATGGATAAAAATACAAATTTACAATGACAGTCTTTTAGAAGTTGATTGCTCATTGCTGAGGGACCCAGCACAGGGTCTCTTTAAAGAGCAAGCTTCCGGGAGCATTTTAATACAGGAGCTGGTGTACCACTTTGAGAGGGACAGGACGCATTGCCTGGCGGGCGTCGAACATTCCGCTGCCCGTGGGAGAGAGCCAGGAAGGCGATGGAAATGATGAATTAGGCCGGGGAAGGGAGCCCATTGCCCAAACGAGGCAAGCTTGCAAAATCATTTTATCCCAGTAACGTGAGATATTTCACAATATTGTCCCATGATTCTATTTGGACAGCTCCTTCTCTCAAGCTTAGACCAGAGTTAGCTGACTTCCCCCCCCCCCCATGTTTTCCTTCTGGGGGAGGACTAGGAGTGGTTGCTACAGCAACCAATTTATCTCTGCAAGTGCATTTTAACTTTCATTAGGTGTTCCGTTTGACAGGAAGCTTTTCCTTCTGGGGGTCTGACTTTCACAAGCGGGCTCTTTCCTAAACACCACCTACTCCTCTTCTGCCCTAAGGGTTATGCACAGGTTTACTCCACAGGGTGGAAAACCAAACTTTAAAACCAAGGCTTTGGGAGGAGAGAGAAGAACAAAGTAATTGCATTTCCAAGCCTGCCATCTTGCGATAATAAACTTGTAGGATCCCGGGAATTTGCCAGGTGAGCGTGGGTTCTTCTTTACTTCTCCCCTCCCCCAGATGGCTCGGGGAAGCTATTCATTTCTCTTCCCATTCAACAAATATTTATTGAGCATTTCTATATGCTAGGCCCTCCAGTAGGTGGTGAAGAGTCAGAATTGTAAAAACAGAGATGGCCGATGCCCTCCTGGGGTTTGCCATGGATGGAAAAGACGGACATTAAAGATATCGACCCTCGAATCACTACATAACTGTGGGGATAAGAGCTGAGAGGAAAGATGCCTGAGAAAGAAGAAAGAGGCACTCGACTCAGACTGGGCGGTCTGGAAAGCCCTCTCTGAGAAGGTGACGTTTCAGTTGAGACCCATGCGTAGAAGGAAGAACTTTCTAGATGGAAAGTAAGCCATGTGATAGCCTTGAGCCGGAAAAGAGCTTTGCGAGTCTGAGGAAGAAAGGTGGCCCATGTGGCCAGCTTCTGGAGGAAGAGGAAGCCTGAGCATGACTGGTGAGCTGCAGGCGGGGGCCAGATCCCAGGGGCAGGCCAGGATCGGGCATCTGCCTGTGATTCTCAGAGCTCAGAACGCTGGGACGTGGTTTCCGGCAGAGGAGTGAAGTAATTGACATTCGAGCAGCTCTCTCCGGCGGCCAAGGGGACATCGGGGGCAAATGCGAAGGAGGGAGATAAATTCAGTCATCCAGAGCAGAGACGATGGTGACCTGGTCAGGAGGAAGCAGCAAGCCAGGAGGAAGTGGGCTGTGGATGTGCTGTGGAGGGGAGACTGGCAGAGGTTGGTGGTGGATTGTCTGCAGAAGTGAGTGTGAAAGGCGACTCGCAGGCTTGTATGGCCTATATGGTGATGCTGTACTAAGATGGAAGAGCTGGAGAAGGAGCAGGTTGAGAAGGAGAAACTGGCTCCGTGGTACCCACATTCTCCTGAGAACCCTCACCACACAATTCCCTGTTTGAGTCTCCTTCTCTAGAGCTCCATGAGGCCCAGGGTCACCCCTACGCGATTCACTGCTATCTTCTGAGCGGTGAAGCCCAGGCCTCGTATCTGTGGGCCCTCACTTGTCCATTGTATTAGTTTCCTAGGACTGCCATAACAAATTATCACTAATGGGATGGCTTCAAACAACACAAATTAATTTTTTTACATTCTGGAGGCTAGAAGTCTGAAATCAACAGGATTGGTTCCTTCTAGAAGCTCTAAGGGAGAATCTATTCCAAGCTTCTCCCCTAACTCCCAGTGGCTGCCGGAAATCCTTGGCATCCTTGACTTGTAGCTGTGTCCCTCCATTCTCTACCTGTGTCTGCACGGGGCCTTCTCCTCTGTGCGCCTTCTCCCATTCTCTTGTAAGGACACTTGCCCTTGGACCCAGGGCCTGCCCTAATCCAGGATGATCTCAGCTCGAGATCCTTGATTACATCTGCAGAGATCCTTTTTCCAAATAAGGTCACATTCACAAATGACTTTCCAGTGTTAGCACGTGGCCATATCGTTTTTGGGGCCACAAGTCAACTCACTTCATCTGTCAACTGAGTAAATGAACGAATGAATCACATTTACTCTTCATAACCACTCGTCAAAGATGATGTGACCTGCCCAAGGCCAGCCAGTGTTAAGAACCTGATGAGCACTGTTGGTGGACTGGAGAACCAAGTGTAACGCAAACACTGTCAGAAAGCAAACCCTTCGCTTTTCAACCAGCCTTCATTTCAGGCTGTTTGTATTTACGTCAGTCTCTCTAAGTCGGTTATTTAGAAATGTGTCCAGAACGCAGCATTTCAGGTGGAACTGACTCACAGTCAATACACCGGAGAGAACCTGAGTCATAGTCAAAGGCCGACCTCACATTCCAGAGGTGAACATCGATCCAGCCTCGCGGTTGAAGCTGCTCCTGCGCCTTTTCCTGCCAAGACGGAGACAGAAACATGAGCGCCATCTCTGAGCAGGGGATCTCCACCTCCTTCTGGAAGCAGTTAATATTCCCAACATCTGTGTTTCGAGGAGGACGCAGGTTGTGATGGTTAATTCTATGTCACAGCTTGACTGGGCTAAGGAGTGCCCAGCTGCTGGCAAAAGGTTCTTTCTGGAGGTGTCTGTGAGAGTGTTTCTGGAAGAGATTAGCATTTGAGTCAGTAGACTGAGTAAAGATTGTCCTCCCCAGTGTGGGTGGGCACCATCCAGTCTGCTGAGGGCCCCACTAGAATGAAAAGGTGGAGGAAGGGCCGGTTCTCTCTCTCTTCTTGAGCGGGGATGTCCATCTTCTCCTGGCCTCGGACGTGAGAGCTCCTGGTTCTTGTGCCTTTGGACTCAGACTGAATTATACCACCATCCTGCCTGGGTCTCCATCTTGCAGATGGCACATCATGGCACCTCTCAGTCTCCATAATTTTGTAAGCCAATTCCCACAGTAAATCTCCTCTTATATTTCTATGTACGTATATCCTTTTGGTTCTGTTTCTCTGGAGAACCCTGACACACAGGTCAACAAGAAATGCTTCTCTGAATGTCTTAGTCAGGGTCCCTGCGACCTCCCATCCCATGCTTAGGGACAGACGTCTCATCACACACACCATGATTCATGGGCAGCCTCCTCTCTACACTGCAACCTGTGCAGCAGGGCCCCTTCTGTTCTGACGGCACCAGCTATGGAAACTAAAGGATGTCCGCTGCTAAGGAGGGGGAGGGTTGTCTATGTGGCCCCCTCTCCAGGCAGAGAGGCCTCAGAGCAGAGGGGCCCTTCTGCAGGGTATACGGGGCCTTCAAAGTTCTCAGAACATGTCTGCCTTTCCAAGTTAACCAGAGGCACCAACACTTAGATTTAAGAACCCAACTTCTTCCTACCCAAGAAAGCCCTACCCAGGGTTTTGTCTTCTAGAGACCTTGCCCCAGTCCAGTTGCTGCCCTTGCTGACCATCACCTCCTCCAGCATGAAGAGTCTGTCTGCCGTGATCCAAGACAGGCAGGAACCAGGCCCCTGAGTCAGGCAAGTGACCTTGCACGAAGGCCACGGGAAGGCATGTGTGCCCAAAGGCCAGGCACTCATGGAGCTGGGAGCAGCAGCTTCTGTTTCCAGGGATGCACAGAGCTAGTGGGGTCGGAACTGGGACTGTCAAGGGTGGGATCAAGGCGCTCTCTTGAAGTGCTGAGTTTCTTTGCTAACCAGACCAGAGAAAGGTCCCCTTTCAATGGGGAGGCCCAGAACTCCTGCCTGCATTGTCCAGCCTTAAAGCGTCCTGTCTCCCCACAGCCAAGACCCTCGGGAAGTGGGCGTCCCATCCCCCTCCCGCCTTCCTGCCTGGAGTGTGTCACTCTCTTTTCGTTGTGTGGGCACCAGAGCTACCTTGTTAGCTCCTTAGTCCCCAGGGCCTCTTTACTGTTCTCCCAGGGGGTCCCCTAAAAGCCACTTTAGCCTGTGCTCCACTTGTAATAAAGTCCCAAGGCAATTGAGTTTAAAGACACAATTATGCATTATGGATAAAGGGCAGCTCTGCATCTGCGCATGCTCCACGGCTTCCATGAGCGGCTTGGGCAGGTCTGTCCTCTCCGCTGAGCCACAGGGCCAAGCCTAGGGGCCCCTCGGTGCCAGCAGCCCCGAACAGAACTGAGTACAGGGCTCCTGGCTGCTTTCGCTGGGACTGCACGACAAATGGGTGAATGTTAACGACCTGCTTCCCCATCTGTGAGCAGCAATCACTGAGATGCTCTCAAACGCTGGGAATTTGGGGGTAGCTCTTTTTTTTCTTTTCCTTTTGCCTTTTTTCAAATATTTATAAAGAGATTTTCCATTTATCCTGACACATCTTCTCCATCGTGGGTGTCAGCTGGGAGGGCTCAGACAACAAACTCCAGAAGGTATTTTCCCCAAAGCAGCATCTGGCTCCATTGGCAAGTGCAGCGGGCGGCTTGCTGGGAATTGGCTGAGGCAGAGGGAGGAGGAGCCACGGGCGGGCAGCCGCGCAGCCCTCACCCCGGGGGCTTGGCTCTGGGATGCCCCAATGGATGGGGACCGGGCATCCCAAGAGCGGGATGCAGCCACCACTTGACATCCCATAGCCCCAAGCCCCCATGTGAGCCAGGCACAGGGCCCTCTTGAGGGTCCCCTGTCTGCCTCTCGTCCTTCAAGCCCTCTGGTCTGATGCCAAAGCTCCCTGACTCTCCCAGGTAAACCACCTGGGTGCTGACCAGCTCCCCAGGGCAGATTCCAGTTACCAGGGGGACAGGGTGCTGGAGGAGAAGGTGCTGGCTTGGTCCCTGTGTCCCCAAGCTCTCCCATCCCAGGAGGCCTTCTGGAAGCAGAGCGAGATCCCTCCCTTGATCTCCCTGCTGGGCATGTCCCACCTGCTGGCTGGGAAGGCAGACAAACAGCAGGACAGCATGACCCATGCTGGGGGCAGAGGTAGTCAGCTGAGTGGCAGGGTCAGAGGTGGCAATGAGAGCCTCGTAGAATCTTCCAGATCTCACCAGCGTAACAGCTGCCCTCACCTGAGGGCACAGCCAGCCTAGCTGATGCCAGGAGCCCCCAGCCCACCATTAGCCCACCTGTTGGTTACCACAGAGACTGAGCCAGGCTGTATATGCTGGTGACGAATTCAGTTGAAAACCAAACACTTTCCAGAACTTGAGTCCAAAGGCATCATGGCCTAGTGCCCTGAAGCTTTCCTGGGCCGTACGTGAGGAATCCCCAGGCCCCACTCCAGAGTGGTCAGAATCTCCAGGGGTGGGATATACAATTCTAAAGTTCCCCTAGGCCATTGTCAGGGGTATCCAGGGTTGAAAACTATTGAGCTATGGAAAGAATATGTCCCCTGGAGTCAGCCAGTCCTAAACTGGAATCCTAGCTCTTCAATTCACTAGACTGGACCTTGAATAAGTTACTTGCCCTCTTGAACCCTCAGTTTCATCATCTATAAAATGGAGATAACAACATCTTTCTTGTTAGACAGTGCCCAGCACAAGTAACTGTTCAATAAATTAGAGCTGCTGTTAGCCATATTCCATCACAAACCCACCTTTGCAGAACAAGAGATGGTTGAAGGTGGGCACGCAGAGGAGCCCAAAACAAGGCAGCGGGTTGGAGCTCAGTGGTCGGGGCTGGGAGCAGCAGCACCTGGTTCCAGGATGCACAGAACCGGGACCTCCAGAGCTGCCTCAGGGCCTCTCCTCGGGGTAGAAGCTGTGAGAGGGCAATGTGGTCCCCGGGCAGGTGCCACCCCCCAGGTGAGAACACTCTACAGATACAGCACCAGCCAAAGAATAATCCTCCTTGAACTTTTAAAGATCTAAAGCATTTAAAGTATTTCCTCTAGGAAGTCAATTCATTTTCCATCCCCTGTTTATCTGGAAATGGTCTAACAGCAGATCCAGCCGAGGGCACAGCCAGATTCGAGCGCCTGAGAATTCGCTCTGCCTGATGCTGCCTTGGGCCAGGCGGATGGAGAAGGCCCTGAGGTGCACAGTCGCCGTGCCACGGAGCAGGTACGTCTGGGAAGACACGCCTGAGAAGACCCCAGTGATTCTGCAGACACATGAAGAGGACGCCAACTCCCGGGTACATTGCTCACCCCTACGATAAATATTATTTCTTATTTCACATTATGTGCATCTACAGGCGACAGGTGCTGATGTCAAACCACCTCGCCTGGTCAGCTGGGGCCACACACCTCATGCATCATCTTCAGATCTCACAGCAGCTCTACTCTGGGTGCTGCTCTGCCACGGCTGAGGAGGGATGCGGGACTTGCCTTGGCTCTGCTCCCACCCCACTGGCTGCCTCCGGCCCGGCTCTCTGGCCACGAGAAGATTTCTAAGAGAGTTTTGGCAACATACAGCGATGATTTTAATAACGTCTTTGTCATCCACAAGATCCACATTCACAGGTTCCCAGAGGACAAAGCGAACCAACAGAGAGGGCCCCACCGAGGAAAATCCAACATTTCTGGACTGGATGAGTCGATGAGCGACGTTCTAGCTGCACATAGAGGGAGCTTGAGTCTGGTGAAGCCAGTGACTGTTGGCAGATGAGGATACTGAGTACCGTAAACTTAATTGCTAGGAAATATTAACAAGCAAGAAAATAAAAGCTACCGTTTATTTAGTACATATTTAAATCAAAATTATAAGCTGGGGTTCTGGAACCCGACTGCAGAGGTTCAAAATCAGGCTCCCTCTGCCACAACCCTTAACGAGTGATTTGCCTTCTTTGTGCCTTCACTGCCTCTTTGGTAAAATGAGACCAACAATAGCACCTGTCTCAACGAGTTTGGGGAAAACCAAACAAGTGATACACGGTAAAGCATTTAGAACGGAGCCTGGTGATGGTGAAGGGCTCAGCAGACATCAGCTACTAGCATTGTTGTGCCGATGCGTTGCCTGAGCTTCTTGAATTTGCAAAACAACCCCACGAGGCAGGTGCTTGGTTCCCCATTTTACCAGGGCCCAGAGAGGTGCAGTCACTAGTCCAAAGCCACACAGCTGCAAACGGCAGAGCAGGACTAGAAACCTGGGTCAACCTGAATCTAATGACCTTCCCTTTCCACCTTACGAAAAGGCCTTGGAAAGAAAAGCAGTGAAGACTCAGTGGCTCTTCAATAACAAGGCAAACGGGAATATAATAGAGGAGGCAGAGCGCGGATATTCAATTGATATCCATGATTCAGAAAGACATCTGCAGGGCAAAGCAAGCCCTCCCACCCAGGAGCAAGCACAGCTCCAAGAGGGCCGCCAGGAGCCTCGGCCCCTTCCCCCGGCAGGCAGCCAGCAGCCGAGAGCCATGGGAAGCAGGAGATGAAAAGGGAGGTGCGGTTCAGAAGGCGAATCTGGCTATATCCTCCTGGAACCAAACCTTTCATTCGGCAGCCGGGCACTTTGCAGCAAAGTTCCGCATGGAAGGCTGCCTTTTCTTCGAGCTCCTGCACCAGGCTGTTATATTTTAGGAATTAAAAGCTCTGCTTTGGTCAAAGCGCAAGTGATACCCGTTAGTTGCAGAATGAGCCATCATTGACCATCTTCCCCACCCCCATTTTCAGACGTTTCCGCCTCCTGGGCCGCCGGTTTCTTCCTTGGAGTGTGATCTCAACCCTCTGAGGGGCGGCTCGGTTTCAGAGGCCGGCTGTGGACAAAGGAGCCTCTCGGCCTGTTTGTCCTGTCGAGTGTTTTAAAAAGGATGTTCTCAGAATAACCGCCTAACTATCCAGCGTGCTGGGCCGGAAGCTTTGGCCAAGGCAGGCCGTTAATATCAATGTGCTCATCACTGGGGCTGGTTCTGGAACAGATTCTAGCGGGGGAGACGGCCCAGCACGGCGACCGAGCGCAGCCCCTAATGGGATCTCGTTTGAAAACATGCAGGTCTGGAACAAGCCCACACGGACTTCACTCCCAGTTCACTGTTTTGTTTGCTGTTTAACACTGACAGCAGGGCGCTGCGTTTTCCTCCTACGACAATGAACAGAAAACGCCCAGGAGAGGGGGCCAGCCGGAGGCCAGAGCTGTCTCAAAGATGCTACCAGGCCGGGAATCAAGGGCTGGCCCTCTGGCCTCCACTCTGGCCAGAACCAAGACAGGAGCTGTGAGTGGGAGCCAGGAGGGAGAGGAGAAGGGTGGGCTCCTAAGGCCAGTGGCTTCCAGCGCCTGCCATCAGCCCAGCTCACTCCTACTTTCCCAGGAAAGGTGGAGCCTGCTCTACCCTCCTGGGCTGCAGGGGACAACCCTTTCCTGACCTCTCCCCTTTGCCACCCCTGCCGCTCCCCTCCCCCACCCCCCACTCTGACAGTCATTTGAACCTGATCTCATCTGGATGCACACATGAAGAAGGAGCCGGGAAGGAAGCAGATGTCAGCAGAGGGCCTTTGAACCTTCGTACCCTCTGGGGCATGGGGTGCAGGGTAGTAGCTGACAGGGCCTGGCTGTGCTCCAGGCAGAGCTGGGTTCAAATCCCAGCTCGGTCATTTATTCTGTTTAGCTGCAGGTTCATCTTCTACAAAATGGGTGTAAAGGCACCCACCTCATACAACTGTTGTCATGATGAAGTGAAAGGATGCTCACAGAATGACTGGCAGGCAGAGGGCACTCATTAGATGCTGCTTCCCTTCCCTCCGCACTGCCAGGGGCTGGCCTGGCATGGAGACAGTGAGGGTGCCACCGCTCTATTGTGGCAGAGCTGAAAAGGAACGCTGCATATCCAGCCCCGATCACCTTGAATGGGATAGAAGTGATAAGCAAATGAAATGGAATAAACTTGAATACGTAAAGCCAAGTAGCAATTTCTGCACTCTCCCTCAAAGGAACCTACTGAAATATTGAAGGAAAAGAAAAAAGTCATTCTTACAGTGTGCATGATCTGATGGAGGGGAGGCTGTCGGTGTCAGGATCTGGAGGCATTCTTCCTGGATTCCGAGGAGCTTGCAGATAAGCCTCCACACTGAGCCAAGCCCCGGAACCTTCTAAGACTCATCCCCAACCCTTTGCTATAGAAACTCAAAATCATTCTTTATGTCTATTCACCCGAGATATCTCCCAGGCTCCCCAAATCCCCCTATTAAAGCCTTCTGAAATCAGCAGAACCATCTGCTTGGGGCATGGAAATGAGATATTACAAAAAGTTGCCACACAGAGGTCATTATTTCCAGAGGACAAAGAGAGGAAAACAAAGCTTTTAATAAAGGCTTTGGGAGCCGCCGCAGAAAGCGACCGTGTTCCCCTAGCCGGTGGAGGGCCTCTCCCTTCCTTCTCCCTGCGGCTGCAAATGCAACCTCCCCAGCAGCTTTGACATGCATGTTACGCAGCATGAGCAGCCTGATATGGTATTCCTCTCCCACAGCCAGCACCCGGCTGCTTCAACCTGGAGTTGGGGTTGGGTGGGTTCTGAGTTCATTAAAGCTCTGTCTTCACAGCCAAAGTAAAGTGAAGAATTGTGGTAATTACCCAAATGAGCTGGTGAGGGGGAAAGAAACCACTTTGGAGGACTGGTCTACGCACGTCCACATTCTCAGCTTTCCAGAAGGCAATGGTATGTATGATGACTTGTCCCCTCTGCCTATAGTAAAACTTATACCGAGTGGCTCCTGGGGGGAAGATGCCAAGCATCCAGCCTCTCCAGAACAAGACCAATCCAGAGCCTCCTCCTGAGCAAGCAAAGGACGTCTCCCTCCCTCAGCTCTGGAAATGTCACATGGGAGAAACTCCAGGGACCTCAGGCAGCAGTTAAATACTGCCATTTAGAGTTCTCTAATCCAGCTGAGCAGAAATTTCCAGATTTAAATTGTGCTCACCCAGGCATGATGAATGGTCTCAGACAGTCTTGAGTTTGCTCCAGCTCCCTTCTCTGGCGGTCAAGTCCTTATTTGACTCCACAGTCTACACCCTCACAATCTCAGGACTACGCACGGTCGTCAGTTGGGTGTCCACAGACAGAAAGGCACACCGCTAGCCCCCACTGGGGTCCCTGTGCCTGAATTAACAGGTAAGAATAACACCACAGTCAAGCGGTACTTGAGAAGGGCAAAGAGGCCATTTAGTGTCCTTGAAAAACTCTGACCTTGAAGTCATCCGGATCTGAGCTGGGATCTTCCAGGTGTGAGACCCGAGCGAGTTACTCGACTTCTCTGCATCTCGGATTCCCCAGGTGTTGTAAGGGGGGATGATGGTGAGAATTACCAGAAAATGTAACATACAACCCCTAGACAGCGTCCAAAAAAATGACAGAAAAGGAAGCATTTGCCTCTCCTTCCACAAAGGACTTGCAAGGGTCCCTCAAAACAACGCTGAAAGGTGGACTGGACACGTGTCTTTCTCCCGGGTGGTTGTGGTTTATCCGAGATCACCCTGCTTGTTCGTTGTGGAGCCAGCACAAGATGGCGACTGTCTTGGCTCCTAATCCAGTGCTCTCTCAACTCTCCCACACGCTCCTCTGAGAGTGGAGGAGTGGGAACTGGTCGAACAGGGCTCTGATGAATGAAGATTTCTGTTCTGTCTCCATGGGATTAATGTAAGGATCCTTGCTTGGAGGAGGGCCCCCCCCCCCAGCCACGTGTCATCTGCCTGACCTAAGAGGAGATGGAGGGAAGCTATTCGCTTCCCACCCCCTCACCCCTCCCTGCAGATCAGAACCATTCATCTTGCTTTCATTTCTTTCCCTCAAAGTCCCTGAAGAAGGCTGCAAGCAGGACAGGGTGGAGGGGATGTCCCCAAGTGACCCGGGAGCTGGCTCAGGATGACATTTTCACATCATGTTTCATGGAGCCCTAGACCCACAGAGGTGCTCTGGGGGCTGCAGGGGTCGTGCGGGTGGGTGGGAACAGGTCCTCTGGGCCCCCTATTCACCCAGAGCCATGCCAGCTCTTATCTACAGGGCTGACTGACAGCAAACCGGGTTTATTTACGCCGGGCTTCTGTTTAAGATTAATTGGAAGCAAAGATTTACTCCTGAAAAAAGCAAGAAAAGCTTGAGATCCACCTTTTTCAGAGCTTCTGAGGACAGAACCCAGAATTTCTCCTTGTGAATATTAGGGACAGAGGTGGGCAGCACTGTTTGGAGCCAGAGCAAGCCTTCTCATGCCTGGTGCACACCTTCAGGCACACACTGGGCACCTGCTGTGTGCAGAACCCCGGACCAGGCGGCAGGTGGGTGAAAGGAAAATAGAGGTGATGACTCTTGCCCTTTGAGACTTTGAGGAAGCAGAACAGACACCCAAGAGGCAGGAGGAGGGGCCCACAAGTGCTGATTAATGCAGCCAGTCTGGTCCTTGGGCTATATTATCCTGGAATTTTTTCCTCTTCTTTTTGTATGCTCTATTTCCCCCAATCAGACTATAATTTTCCAGGGGGCAAGAAATACCTCTCACTCAGCAAATATTTCCTAAGCACTTGTACACGTCAGCTATGGGAAAGGCTCACAGTCTTGTGAGAGAGCCAGCAGTAACTCCAGCACGGGGTAATTCCTTTCCTCTGGGTAGTGGGGGCCAGGTAAGGTGCCACAAAGGAGGGGATATTTAAGCTACATCTTGCGAGAAGAATAGCAGCTCTCCACATATCTCTTTCACTTTCCCGGGGGTCCAGTGCTGCATCACACAGCACGCCCATCAGGGAGGCCAACAACAGGAGCTTTGGGGAGGCACGAAGTGAAGGCATGCTGGACACCCAGGTGCCGGTCTCTGAGGGCCTCTTGGAAGGAAGAGTTTGGAGCTGGGTTTTGAAGGAGGAGGAGCCGGGATTGGCTGCGAGGAGAGGGAGTGTGTCCAGGTTGGGATCATGCCAGGAGCAAAGGCAATTAAGTGAAGCCAGCAGGGCTGGAGGCAGAGGCTGGCGATAAAGGGGAGGAGGTGAGGGAAAGCCAGTTAAGCTCGAGTAGAGCGAAAGGCAAAAAGAAATAAAGGTATTGAAGAGGGAGCTGGGAGAAAGAGGGAAGCAGCCGGGGGCCGGGAGGTTTGAATCTAGTACAATTGGTGTTTGGGACTCGCAGCAATAAACCATCAGAAACGTAATAATGGAGGAGAGCCCCAGTTTCAATCACAGCTTGACCATTCCTTATAAAACAGAGCCTGTGTTCCTCCCCAAGGACCTCGGGCTGACATCTCCCTTCTCCCTCAGCCCCAAAGTCTGGGTGCTCCCAGGCCCTGCGGGGCATCTGGAGGAGCTGCCGCTGGGCGCAGAGCCACCTGGGTGTGGGAGGAGGGTGGCCGGGGCCTGGCTTGGCCTGCAAGGTCTCCCAGCTGTGACCCACATCTGGGGCTTCTGGAAATCTGACCTGAACACTCCCACTTCCCACACTCACGCCTATACATTCATCTTCAGGAAAAGGCACGGATATGTACACGGGGAAAAGAGGGACACCGCACACACACACTCTCCACATATGGAAGAGTCCCCAGGGCCGTCTAAGAGGAGCTGAGTGTCCTGGGTTGGGTAAGTGAGCCGGCTGGAAACGCGGTTTCCCTTCAGTCCTCCTGGGGAACCCGTGCCCCGGCTTCCTTCGCTCTAATAACGTGAATGAACCCTGGGAGAGGAGGAAAGAGCGCGCGCGAGGGCGGAGAGAGGAGGGGAGAGAAAATCCTGGCTCGGGGAGAGCGAGAGAGCGGGGCGCACACCCGGTGGTGGGGGGCCGCGGCGCGAGGGGCGGCGCCGCGAGGAGCGGGGCGCGGGCCCGGAGCGCGGCGGCGCGGAGGGCGCGGGGCGGAGGCGCGGGCCGCGCGGGGAGGGCGGGCCGAGAGGGAGGAGCCCCCGGCCGCCGCCGCCAGCCCGCCGGGCGGCCCGCGCAGCCCTCACTCGCCGCCGCGCCTCGGAGTTTGAGCCCCGGCGCGGCCGGAGCGCAGGCACGCCCGGGGCGCCGGGTCGGAGCGCGCAGCGCGGCGCCGCCCCCCGGCCCTCGGCCCCCCAGCCCGGGCGCCCCCGGAGCGGCGCGCGGAGGGAGGGAGGAGGGCGGGCGGGCGCGGCGGGCCGGGCCGGCGGGCGGCGGACTATGAGGCGCCCACCATGGTGCGATGCGACCGCGGGCTGCAGATGCTGCTGACCACGGCCGGAGCCTTCGCCGCCTTCTCGCTCATGGCCATCGCCATCGGCACCGACTACTGGCTCTACTCCAGCGCGCACATCTGCAACGGCACCAACCTGACCATGGACGACGGGCCCCCGCCCCGCCGCGCCCGCGGCGACCTCACCCACTCGGGGCTGTGGCGGGTATGCTGCATCGAAGGTACGGCCGACCCCGGCACCCCCACCCCCGACACACCACACACACGCGCGCGCGCGCACACACACACACTCCGCCCGAGCGGCAGCCGGAAAGGGGGTGGGCGCGGCACTGGCTCCGCGCGAGACACAAAGGAGCCGGAGCGAGCGGGCGGGTCCTCTCGCGGCCAGCTGTACACCAGCTCGGGTCCCTCCCGCCTGGGGAGCCCCCCCAACACACCGATCCCACAAACTCTCCACTCGCAGCCGCACACCCCCTCGCTCACAGACACAATGAAACACACCTAAACTCACACGCGCGCGCGCTCTGCCGGAGACGGAGCGATCCCGAGGGGCCGCGCCGGCGCCCCCGGGGGAGGTGGAGGCTGGCGAGGGGGCGGGAGGCTGGGGTTGGGGGGAGCGGACGGCAGAGGAGGGGAGGGAGGAGGGGGAGGGGTTGCTTGGCAACCGGTGTCTGTGCGATTGCTATGGGAACTGGCCATCCTGGGGCGGGGCCGGCCGGGGGCGGGGAGCGCCGGGGCCGCTCCGCTCGAGCTCCAGGCCCCAGCCGACGGGTGGGGGTGGGGGCTGGGCTTTGAGCGGGTCTGGGGGATCGGGGTCGCCTGAGCCTGACGCCACGAGACCCTGCTCCGCCGCCTATTCTTCCACGGGGCCACGGGCCTGCTCCTCCCTGCTCGGTGGGGAGGGGAGTGGAGTGACACCGAGTCTCCCCCCTGACTAGGGCAGCGAGCCTTGCGTCGTGGTCCCTCGGCCGGGAGGCTGCGCGAGACCTTGGCGGGGAACTGGGTGCGCAGGGGCGACTGGCAGACCCGTAAAGCCCTGAGGGGGGCGTGGCCGCCCCGTGGTGGCAGGAGGAGCTAGCCGCTGCGACCCCGGGATACGCGGGATGCGCGAGGAGGCCGAGTACCAGGTGTTGCGAGGTTGGAATGCCTCTAGGGGCCTGTGGAGACCGCTCCCTCTGCGGGAGGGGCCCGGACCCCTCGAAGGGCGAAATGCGCCGACTTCAGCGCCTCCCGCCTGCCCAGCTGCGGAACTTGAACTAACAGGTGGCTGTAGAGGGGCCCTCTGGTCCCAGCCAGGTCGTGGATGGGTCTGCCGCTTGGTCTTGGCTTTCAGATCGGAGACAGGATGGGGGGGGGGGGGGGTGTTGGCCGAGCGTTCCTTTCAAAAATCCTTGGACAGAGTTCGCTCTTTTTCTGTAACCTTTTCCCGCGTGTGAACTCCGCCCCTCCGTTGTTCGGGAAGTTCTCCCACACACCTAGCCCTTCTTACCGCAGTTACAGCCCCTGCAAATAGTTCAGCGTGGTTGGATCCTGGTGGAGGTTGGTAGGGAGCTCTTAAAAAGATGGCCCTTTTCTGGCCGCGTTTGGAGTCATCTAGAAAGAGGCTTTGTAAAACTGGGTCGGCTTGGCGAGGTCGAACTTGCCCCCTTGCCCCCCTGCCTAGATGGGGGCAGATGCCCGTTCTCATCTGGAATGCTGCCTGCCTCTGCCCTCCACATCCTCTTCCAAATGAAGCTGCTTTGCCCTTTGCAGTTTGGAGCTGAGTGCCAGGGCTAAGTGGAGTCTTCGAGGAGCGGGAGTGTGCAATCAATAGTTTGGGAAACACAGCCACACAAAAGATTGGTGGGCCCACGATCGCACCCTCCTCTTTTCTTTTGAAAAACACCGTTTTTGGTGTGCAGTTGCTCAGATCACGAACACCTACTCCTCTCATCTGGAGAATGTACCCGCGTCACGACCTGCCATGGCACCTGAGTTAGACACAGAGCAGGGGCTGCAGGGCCCCCCGTTCCATCTCACAGGCCCCACTGGGCAAGGCACAGTAAGTCGTGCCACCCAAAGGCACTCGTGGACCCAGGCCCTTCCAGTTTCCCAGTGGAAATTGGAACTAACTCCTCCACGCCGGCAAGCCTGGCCTCTGCAGAGTGGCTCGAATGCCTCCTTTATTAATTCCTCATCCTAATTAGGATTGATGCTGCACTTAGCATCTTGCCAGCTGCCTCGAGCCGTTTGCACTCGGTGTTCATCAAGAGAGCCCCAAGCTGATCTGGGCAGCTGGCTCCGCTGGCAGAGGGAGGATGGGGAATTGCCATCTGGGAGACTTCACCGAAAGAACTGGGCTGCCTCTGTCACCCCCCAGAGCTCAGGGGTTCTGAGGGCCAAAGTGGGCCACATCCGAGGGCCGGAACATCCTTAGACCAACTCAGGGCTGGGAGAGCTGGTTCAGGATTCCTTGTCTTGGCTAGAATCATCATGACAGTTCCTCAGCCTGGGTGGAAACTGCCAGCTTATCTCATAAAAGCACATCGCAGAGTCCAACAGCCTCTGACATCTCTGATGCCTCCACTTGAGACCCAGACAGCACATTGACCCCGGGCCACTCCCTGGGGTCATGGTCACCTCAGTGCTCGCTTTTGTGTGTAAAATGCATTATTTCCACCTGTTCTGTAGCAAAGTGCCCCAAAGCATTACATAGAAAAAAAAAAAAAAAGAAAAGAAAAGCTCAAACCTCTGAGCTGAAACTGAAGAAATACTGCAGCAGGCAGCTAATAAAGCACCGGGTGTGGTGGCCAGACTTTGAAGGGTTTGCTGGCAACTGGCAAACAGCGGATTCAGTTTCCTGGTTGTTTCCCATAAATGATGTTGCCGGGCCATGACAGCCCAGCCCTCTGTGTACTTAAGGCATCCACACAGCCTGGCAGGCTGACAGCACCCCAGCCTCCTCCTTCCCCCCAAAGCTGGGTCTCCCCCTCTGCCCCTGTATTGGACAAGTGTCAAAATGCTCAAGTGCACAGAGCCTTGTGCGTGTTTCCACATGGCATGCTCAGGGCAGCCGTGAGAGGGCACTGCCATCGCCCCCATCTGCAGATGGGGAACAGAGGCCCAGAGAGGGTAAGGGACTTGCCCAGAGGCACCCAGGTAGGAGGCTGCAGGGCCAGATTTGAGCCTTTGTCTCACTACAAAGCTCTTCCCACCATGTCATCCTGCCCTTTCACAAACAGCTTCTGGGTTGCCATTAAAAATAGAACCAAGTACTTGACTACCCGGTGGAGCCCAGCTCTGAGGCTGGGCTGGCGGCAGCATGAAGGCATTTAGAAATGAGGATGTACAACTGATACACAAATTGCATAACACATACCTTTCTCTTCCCTTCTCTTCTCTCCTCTCTTCTCTTCTCATTGCTGTCTCTCTCTGTGTTTCTGTCCCTCTGTCTCTCCTCTTCCACTATGTTCTGGACTAGCCTGTCCCCACCACCATCAACCATCTGCTCCCTCCCTCACCAAGACCCCTACTCGCTCTTTCTTTGTATCACTGGAGACACTCACCCAAGGCTGAGGATGGAGGAAAGGAGTAATGAATCCTTGTGGACTTTTCGGTCAAAGGTGTCACCAACCAACATTTGTTCAGTCTCTGATGCATTTTGCAAGGGGGCAAGGCGTGGAATATAAACAGCATTATGGAGCATGCAGTACGTGCCAGGACAAAAGGCCTGAGGAAAACACAAGGGAGAGGGAGAGACGCTGGGCCCAGAGGGCAGCAGCTCATGACAGCGTGCCGAAGCCCCCATGCCCACCGTTAGCTCTGGAGCATTCAGTGGTGCCGCCGGAGGACAGGGTCCACAAGAGACCCAGTCGCTGTGCTGCCATCAAGAGGGCTCTGGGCCCAGAATGAACGGTCCTGGCAAAGCTCAGCCTCAGCAGCGCCCGCCCCTCACATGGCCCCCATGTCACTCGTAGATGAAGCCTTAAAATGGCAGCCTTGATGCCAGGGGTGGCCCCTGTCCTGCTTTGTGCCAGCTCTGTCCTGGCCACTGGTGGAGGAAGGTGTGGAGAGATTCTGGACCCTGATTGTGAGAGGACCTTTGGTGCTGACGACGTTTGCCTCCCTCCCCAGGCGGCATCTCTCCCACCTGTGCTCCCAGGTAGAAAGAAACTGTGAGTACCGCACCCCTCCCTGGGGGAGGCAGAGGTCTGCTCCGGCTGCCCACACCCTGCCCAGGTGCCCGGGAGGGGGGATGGCTCACCCTTCCAGCACATCTGGAACCCTTTCACAGCAGGACAGCTGGGCGGCTCTGCCTTAAACCACGCCCCCGACATGGGACCCCCTGAACATGCTTCAGAGAGGTTCTGATCCAAACAAGGCCCTTTCCCCAGCTGCAGGCCAGGCACTGGGCTGGGAACCTTTCCTGTCTGTGTTTGCTTTCGTTTTCTCTTGCAGTAATCCCCAGGCAGCCTGTCCAATCAGGCCTGGGTGGGGGACAGCATCCAGAGCGGCCTCCCTCCCCACAGCGCTGGCTCGTCCCCTCACCCGTGGGCCCTCCTTTCCCCTGGCCTTAATAACAACAGCCGTCACTTACTGAAGACCTTCCCGCAGGACTTACATTAGTTCATGTAATTGCCAACAACACTTCAAGGTAAATATTAATTATCTGCCTTTAATAGGTGTTGAAAATGAGGCTTAGGATGGCCTCAGCTCCTGAGCCCAGGGATGCCTTCTGCTGTCAAGATCTCAGCTGAGGTCAAACAGATGAGCCCACTGGCCAGGGGATGTCTTTTGTTTGAACCACACAGATTTGGGAAGGGGCCCGTAAAAGGGTTATAGTAGCTCGGGCTGCCATAACAAATATGACAGACTGTGTGCCTTAAACAACAGACATTTATTTCTCACGATTCTGGAAGCTGGACGTCCAAGATCAAGGTGCCAGCAGATTCGGTTCCTGGTGAGAGCCCGCTTCCTGGCTTACAGATGGCTGCCTTCGAGCTGTGTCCTCACATGGCAGAAAGCTAGCTCTCTAGTCTCTTCTTATAAGGGCACTAATCGCATCATGAGGACCCCACCCTCATGACCTCATCTAAAACTAGTCACCTCCCAAAGGTCCCACCTCCAAATACCATCACATTGAGGGGTTAGAGCTTCAGCATATGAATTGAGTGGGTCAGGGGGCAAACATTCAGCCTGTAACAGGGATGTTCTCCCTTCCTGTCCCTGCTCCAAGACTGGT